CTTATTATACTGTATACTGAGCAAAAAATTAACTGGTGTATTTGATTTTAAAATATTTTTAATACAATGCAAAACTCATTTCGTTTACTCGTTTACTTCATTATCTCATCAGATGCATTTATTTGAAGACTTTTCTTCGTTCAGGTCAGTGTGTTTGACTAGTGAAAAATATAATGCAAAGCTCATAAACAACTATTACAATTTGTTTTATAATTACAACAAGAAACGGAATTCAATAAAGTTTTTTTTTGTTTTTATTGATCATGCCAAATAAATACAATCCTTGAAGATAAACAGCAACACATTGTTACAGCAAGTACAAAGCCCATGATAACTTCCAAGTTACAATACAAACATTGAAATATTTCAGTCAAGTCAATGTGAAGTCAGTATGACTCAATTACTTGGGCACATTTCATCCTTTTATTTATTTATTTTCAATTCCCTTTAGGATGATGAACAATCAGAGCACCAAGGCAAACACAGTGCTTGTTGTAAATTTGACCAAATAGAACWGAGTCCTGGACTTCTTCTGATGTTATTGTTAATTTTCTGAGTGATTACCATTCCTCTTGTATCCAAATGTGCTTTAGAGATGTGCTTAATGAAAAAAAAGAGTGCAATCAGTGCTCTGAATTTGAGAAAYGCATGTTATCGAACTACAACTAGACAACAGCTAAAGAGAAGAAAGAACCTGGGAACGGTCCAAAAACAAAAACAAAAAAACCCAAAAAAACCCACACACTTTACAAATTTCATCTTTCCGTTTAACTCCTCTTACAAACAATGGAAATATGTTTTTCATCTTTACTGAAACCGACACAGAAATGGAACAAATGTTGGTTTTGTTGTGACTGAAAAAGAAGAAAACCGGGGTGGTTTGTGCAAGTCCAGTTTGAAGCATTATTCTTTTCCCCGCATATTCACTAGTTAGCAATTTGGATTATGACTCGCTGTTTCCATATTTTCAGTCTAACAAGTGACCAAATCGATCTTCAGCCGAGCTGCTGACAAACTAGTAAAATTAAGCGCAACTTGGTTATTATAAGAATTTGATTCAGTCGTTTGCAGTTTTCTGCTTTCTGAACAATGCAGTGGAAAAGAAATGGCTCTAGTTTAATTTTTCACTGAATCCTGCTACAAAAAAAATCAAAGCTGTCAAACTCTTGAAGTGTCTGTACCGAGGCGGTCTCTCATCCCAACAACACCCCCTCATCTGTTTTCTTTTAAAAGCAAAAAGGAAATTTCAACATCAAGCATTGGCTAAACTTTGTACAGCTTGGTCAGAATTGTTACAGCACAGATTCAAATTTGAAACTTAACTTCTAAACTCATTCAAGTTGCTGTTATAAAGTCTTTTATTTATTTATTTCCCCCCACAAAGAAACCTTGTAGTCTGAAGCATTCGGTTTTGGCTCCGCTGCTTCACTCTGTCTACCGACAGGCCTCCTCTTTCATCTCCTTGTTCTTTCTCACTTCCTCTGCGTGTTTATCCTGCCAGACAAATAAAAAATAAAAGATACTGAGCAATGCATCACATGGTGGTCGTTACCATTCACAAATGCATTTACATTAATGATGAGAATGGACGATCTACAAAGGAAGCTGTTCGTGAAGATTTGGCAAATGAGAAATGGGGGAAATTAAAAATTATTTTCACCTCCTTCAACATTTATGATTACAGATCAAGACTGTGAAAGACTGTGAGTTAAGGTAAAATTACCATACCATACAATAGCACTTTATTTAAAAGTACTTCATAAAAACTGCAACAAAGCCAACCAAAGTGCTGTATAATAAAACAAGTTCATAAAACCCCAATTCTAATGAAGTTGGGGGACTGTGTTGATGTATTTTTGGGTTTCATATAGGGCTGTGTATTGGCAAGAATTTGGCGATACGATACATATCATGACAGAGGGGTCACGATACGATATATCCCGATATATTGCGATACTATAAGCAAGGCGATATATTGCGATATATTGCAATTTTTTTTGTCCAAAAATTCTATTAAATAAAAACCTCTTACAGGGGAAAAAATGTAAAACCAAAATTCATTGTCTCAGAAAATTCTAATATTACAGAGACATACTTTTGATACATTTAGCTGTGTTCTGCTTTGTATGTATTTGATTTTATTTGTTTCATATTTCTTATTTCATCCATGTTTTCAATTATTAGACTAAATTTGACAATAAATAGTTTGAAAATATATTTTTTGCAGCTTTTAGTTTTTAATATTAATTTACAATATGGTCACCCAACACTTAACAATAGTCTCTACCTCAAGAGGTAGAGGAGCCAAATGTCTGGCTCACTGCTGCCAACTAGTGGTCAGAGGCTGAACTACAACATAAAAATGAACGGCTGGCAGGAAAGTTGACATTTTAAACCTTAATAAATAATTTGATACAGGGCTTTAGAATATCGATACAGTATCGGGAAATGAAATATCGCGATATTTCAGTGTATCGATATTTTCGTACACCCCTAGTTTCATAATGCTCCACACATTTTTTTAAGGGACACGGGTCTGGACTGCAGACAGGCCAGGCTAGTACCTGCACTCCTTTACTACAAAGCCACGCTGCTGGAACATGTGCAGAATGTGGCTTGGATTGCAGCACACGTTGCTCCAAAACCTGTATGTACCTTTCAGCATCTGTGCCTTCACAGATGTGCAAATTACCTACAGTATGCCCATACCATCAGAGATGCTGGCTTTTAAACATTTCCACTTTGTGTCAGTCCATCTCAGATGAGCTCAGGCCCAGAGAAGCTGGCTGTGTTTCTGGGTGTATACTGTATGGGCATATGGCTTTCACTTTACATAGTAGAGTTTTACTTTGCACTTGTTGATGTAGCGACAAACTGTGTTCACTGACAATCATTTTCTGAAGTGTTCCTGAGTCCACATGGTAATATCTGTTACAGAATGATGTTTTTAATGCAGTGCTGCTTGAGGCATTCAATGATGGGTTTCGGCCTTGCAGAGATTTGTCCAGGTTATCTGAATCATTTGCTGATACTCTAAACTGTGGATGAAGACATCCCTAAATTCCTTGAAATTGTATGTTGAGAAAAGTTTATTTTAAACTGTTGGACTATTTTCTCATGCAGCTGTTCACAAAGTGGTGAACCTCACCCCGTCAACGCCTGTGAATGACTGAGCCTTTCGGGGATGCCCCTTTATACTCAATCATAGTTCTCACATTTTTCCAATTAATCTGTTCACCTGTGAAATGCTCCAAACAGGTATTTTTTGAGCATTGCTCAACATTCCTAGTCTTTTGTTGCCCCCTTTTTTACAGGCATCAAATCACTGATTTTAGATACTTTTAACAGAGTTTAAAAGTAAAGCTTTGGCTGTTATTTTTATTAGTGTATTTGTGTTTTTTTATTTTATTTTATTTTACTAGACAAGCAGCAGAGGCCTTAAAGAAGCACATTGCAAATCAAGCAATGTTATAAGCATTTCAACCAGGTAGACATGGGGAGGCCTGACAAAATGTGTACCGGTGTGCTTCAGAGAGAAGTATCCTTAACAATAAACTGCTTAATCTATAATCATCTCCTTTGTTTTGTTCACATTCAAGATGAGATGATTGTTCCCACACCATGTCACAAAGCGGTCCACCAGCTCTCTGTACTCAGCTTCCTGTCCATCTCTGATACACCCAACAACTGCAGAGTCATCTGAGTATTTCTGTAGATGACAACAGTCTGACTTGTGCTGTAAGTCTGAAGTGTACAGTGTGAACAGGAATGGTGAGAGTACAATTCCCTGTGGTGCTCCTGTGCTGCTGACCACCTGGTTAGACACACAGTCCTTCAGTCTCACAAACGGTGGTCTGTATCATAGCCCATGTCATTTTCTCTAAAATTAACCTTAGTGGCTTTATGCCTCGTATTAACCAGATTGCATAAAAAACCTTAGTRGCCTCATACTAAACAGCTGACAGTCTGAAGTCATTCAATGGGACTGATAACGACTAATAACATCCGAAGCAGGCTTTTATTTCTCCACCAGCTCATGATCCATCCATCATGTCTCCAAGTTTAGCTGTGTTTGACCTCTTTGAATCTATCTCACTTTCTTTCTTAAAGCCGCAGGTTTTAATTATGAATTTATTTGGCTCCGCCTTCAGTGTTGTTCCTCCTCAATTTCTAAGTCTTTCGTAAACTGGGTTTGTCTATTCTTTCTATTGTGAATAGCTGTTAAATCTCTGCTGTACAACTTCTACTGAAAATAACCGGTCTTGACCCTCTCAGTTGCGTCAAACTGTAGGCCTGCCTCCAAGTTTTCATTTTTATCCAAACTACTGAGGAGAAAAGTTTATTCTTTCCTAAAGTCTTTTAATGGAGTTGGTCCAATCTGGTTTTAAAACACATTGCAGCACTGAGACTAGATTTCAGGAGAAATAGTGTTAGATCAAACCCTGTTTCCATCATGGGAGAAGAAGTGGAGGTGGTTGAGGA